ATAATAATATAAAATATAAAACTTAGTCGGTACAATCACTTTAATAGCATATTTATATATGGCAATATATATATATATATACCTCATCAAAAAATTAATATATATTCTAAATGGAGAGGGTTCGGATTGGGGATTAAAATACTATCCCCGCCCCTCCCCGAACACCATACCCAAAAAATTCCCCATACCCGATTTTTGTCCTTCATATCCGACCCCCAAGGAGAGTGGCAACTTAAACTGGAACACTACCTTTATGTACACCTGTTGGTATATTTGGAAATGGCGGAATCAATTGGCTTTCAACAACCAAGAGGATCGTCCTTATAATCCAAGACAAATAATTCTCTCTGCTGCTAAAGACTGGGTTAAAGCCTCCCTTGCTGCTGTGTGTAAGGTGGATAAGGTGCACTCTTTCATCTCCTGGAAACCCCCTGGCCCTGCTCAGTTTAAACTTAATGTTGATGGATCAAGACGCACCTCCTCTGGTTGTATTGGCGCTGGGGGTGTGATTCGCAATGCTTCTGGTAATTGGATTGGTGGTTTTTCTGTGAACCTTGGCCAGGGCCATATTTTGGATGCTGAAATCTGGGGGTTATATTTTGGACTTAAGCTTGCCATGACTAAAGGTATAACCTGCCTTAATATTGAAATGGATGCTGCTGTGGTCGTCCATCTAGTGAAGAATATTGATGGATTGACTCATCACCCCTTTGCTCCCCTAATTAATGCTTGTTGTGCTCTCATGAAACAGCTTGATAACTGCACTCTCCTTCATATTTATAGAGAAGGAAATAGTGTGGCTAACGAATTGGCAAACTGGAGTTACAACTTAGACCTGGGCATCCTCTATTTTGACGAAGCTCCTCGTTGGATTGGCTCTCTTCTCCTTGATGATATCACTGGTGTAGCGAAAGCTAGATTAGTTTGTCCTGTTTCCTTGTAGTTGTTGTGTTCGGGGTTTTTTCCCCTCTAGTTTACCCAAAAAAAAAAAAAATTAAAATTAAAAGAAAAATCAGATAATAAATCCTGTTTTTATGGACCACAACTACCAATTATCTTTTTTAATTCTAAAATAAATTTAAATTTTTTTTAAAAAAAGTCTTTCGCAAGCGCGGAAGCGCGTGCGAAGAGGCTAGTATATCATTAAATGCAGTTTTTTTTATATTTGATTTAATATGGGTATAATTGGAAAATTATACATTCCTACTCAAAACAAACATGGGAAATGAAATAAAATGATATCTCCCAGTTACTTTCCCACCATTACCAAACATGGAAAAAGAATCTTCCATTTCTTATCCCTTGAGAAATGACATGGGAAGTGATTTCTCGTCAAATCCATTTCGTGAACCAAACGGAGCCTATCAATAAATATCCACATATATTATAACACATGGATGAGTTATATCCCATAAAGATACTCTTGTACTACACTACCCCAAGTTTTGGACTTGATACAAAGGGTTTTGATAAATTTGGTAATAATGGGGTTGAGTTACAGTTGCATTTGGTCTTAGGTTTCAATTATATATTGTACAAATTAGGGGAGAGAACAATGAATTCTTACTCACCTCGCCTCTTGGGTTGTCCCATTGACTTTCTCATTTCTTAAAGCTATGAAGGTCAGGAGTCAGGAGTCAGGCATCAGTTCCCCAAATTGAATGCGGAAAAGTGTTGAATGCCACAGATGCTGAAAAACCTAATTTGATGATTTTGGACGTAGATGCTAAAACTAAAAGACAACGTGATGAGTCTGAAGCAAGTGGAAGTGAAGTTATTTGCAAATAGAAATGCAAAACTTTGTAACGCGTAAAGAAGGGCCCCATTGCATGTCGTGGATATGAGTGAGTCTGAATGCTTGAATCTTTTGTTGGGTAATTTCTTATCTTCTCCATTTTCCATTTTCTTGAAGTGGTTGGATGAATTTTGTAATTTTGTTTTACTTGAACAATCATACCACACAATCCCAGTCAAGTCAACAAAGCTAGCTTGCTTATCCTTAGTCTCTGAAACTCCACACTCGCTTTCGATTCTAATAATCAGGGCAACTAGTCTCTCTAGCTGCAACTCTTTCTACTTCTCTTGCTTCGATCCCCCTGATTCATGAGCTCCAACTTGATCATGGCTGCTTCTTCTGCTCCCCCTTCTCCTATCCTCCCTCCTCAAGAAAAGTATGATGTGTTTCTTAGTTTTAGAGGTGCAGATACCCGCTGCACTATTACCAGCCATCTTCATGCTGCTCTACGTAGGAAGAAAATCAAAACCTACATAGACGACAAACTTGAGAGAGGAGATGAAATTGCACCCGCCCTTGTCGAAGCAATCCACAAATCGAAGCTTTCAGTAATCATTTTCTCGAAAAACTATGCTTCTTCTACTTGGTGTTTGGATGAGCTTGTGCATATACTAGGATGCAGAGAGAGAGATGGACAGTTTGTTATACCCATTTTTTACGACATCGATTCATCTCATGTACGAAAACAGCTGGGGAGTTATGCAGATGCATTTGCTAAACATGAACAACGTTGGAAGGACAGTGTGGACAAGGTGCTCATGTGGAGAGGTGCTTTGGAGAAAGCAGCCAATCTATCTGGGTTTGATAATTCAAACAAAACTAGGTAACAAGCTCCTCCTCTAATTTGTGCCTATTTGATTCATGAGATGAGATGATTGGTTACTCATGTACTTTACTTTGTTTCAGTTATGAGAATTACATTAATTAATGCATACCTACTATCTATTAATTGTCCATATTGAATCAAATATACCAGGACGGAGGCTTATTTAGTTGAGAATGTTGTTGAAGATATTTTGACCAAACTGAATCGAAAATCCTCAAGTGATTTAAAGGGCCTGGTTGCAATTGAAAGCCAAATTGGGCAAATTGAATCGTCCTTATGCATTGATTCACCAGAGGTTTGCTATATAGGCATTTGGGGCATTGGTGGTATTGGCAAGACCACCCTTGCTGGTGCTGTATATAATCGACTCTCTTCTAAATTCAAGGCTTCTTGTTTTCTTGCAAATGTTAGGGAGGAATCAGAAAAGCATGGATTAAATCACTTGCGAAATAAACTTCTTCGTGTGTTATTAGAGGATGAAAATCTTAAAATCGACACTCCATCAATAGGATCAACTTTTGTTGGAGAGAGGCTTTG